ACCAGATTGGCGTAGTTCTCGTCAGGAATAGTATCACGTCCATCAACTAGCGGGAGAACAATCAGAGCCCGGTCGAGAAAAATTGTGTTATTCAAATGCAAAGAAACTTCTGCGTTAACGACGTCTGCATATTTAACGAAACAGACCTTTAAAGGGGATAAGACCACTTGCAACACAAGCATACCTTAGTCAGTGTTTCATCTTTCTCGGGCGGATGAAGAACGATATCTTCAATGACACCAATGTGTCCAAAAAGTGTTCTCATTTGCTCCATAGTGGAGGTCGGCGAAATGTTAGTGATCTGAACAATGCGGCCCTTAACTTCGACCGTCATCTTGGAGCGTAAATCATAAAAGGCGCGGGCAGGTCGTGGAACATGCTTAAACAATTCTACAGGCAGTGGAAAAAATGAGGTCTTGTCGGGGATTCAGTGGTTTTTGGCTGTCATCTTACTTTGCTTATAGAACTTGTTTATGTTCGACGCCCAAGTTAAAAACTGAAGCGTTAAGCGGAAGAAGAAAAAACATCGAGATAAAAAGCAGGAGGAGAAATATAACCATTAAATCCCTGCGGCATGAACATGTTTGAGTTATTCACTTTCGTAAAAGCTTGCATGAGTCTGATGTTCACAGATAGGAAACCTCTGGATAAGCACTGGACATCTCAAGAGATATAAAATGAAATCAAGCAGACTGATATTGACCCGTTGTGTCAAATGCTAATTTCCAACGAAAATGAAAACTTTCATGAGCAATCTTGATCATCAAGTAGGCTGAAGTCGCCATTAAATTTATAAAATACAGTATCAGTGACCGTGTAAGAAGGATGAACGAAATTAAGGAACTCGCGCAAAGATTTTTTTCGCTCGGCTTCTTTACCGATAGGAAGAGACGCCCTAATAGCAAGGCGCTATCGCAGTGATATCGCACCAATAGCGCACTTTCAATATTTCAATCGCAAATCGACAGCGTTTTTTCCAACAATTTGCTTTAGAGGTGATATGGAATTTTTGTTATTCCCGGAAAACGGTGGGAGGGGGACGTTTGCCTTTACGCGTTATCCGTATACTTATATTAGTAACAATTGCCTTGAATCCATTAATTGTTCTTTCATTTGTCCCCTTCTGGACGTTTAAGCCCACTTATTAGACCTAAATAGGTTCAGGGGTATCCGAGCATGGCCCAAACTGCGCGTGCAGGGTCGTACGGCACGTACGTACAAGCATGTTTGGCAAAAACGGGTGGAAGAGCTATTCGTTTATTAGCTATTAATAAAAGATGAATGCATATATTTGCGGAATGCTTTCCGTTACATCCGATCGGCAGAGGAAGGCACGACTGACGTGTCCCTATCAGTAGACGACGACGGAATCGGATCTACAGATGAAGTGATTATCCAGTTCTTATAGATGTAAACTAACCGGTCGTCTGGGTCGTACTGTTATTTTAATGAGCACATTTTGCTGAATTATTCACGGAAATTTTAGTCGTTTTGCCATCGCTAAATTCAGGACCTTTAACCTGGCCTTCCCCTCTGTATTCCAACTAACGAAGACGTCTGTTATGTAGATGAGTGATTGACATCAAGGAGCACACATTTGATTACTCCGTATCAGTTGGAGCCTAAAAGACCTTGCTCGGTTTTTCGCTCATTGAAATTAACGTTATAGCCGATTTTGACGAGAATGATTAGTGAGGCCAAGCGCAGGTTGGGAAGCCAAGGTCCTTCTGTCTTACTGGCACCTGGTAATAGGGGTTATATGGGTGGGGCAGTAAACTGACAAGCTGTAGACGGCGATAAATGGAAACAATAATAGGAAGGAGAGCCAAAAATGAACGTTTGTTTTAATAAAGAGTCAAGGAAGGCCGAAGTG